ACTAGAACTGATTATGGGTTAATTACTAAGTTGCAAGCTAAGCTACATGCAACATTTCACATGAAGGATCTTGGACAACTCACATATTTTTTAGGATTAGAGGTATATCATCGATCCAATGACATTTTTTAACTCAACAAAAGTACTTTCAAGATTTGATCAATTTGGCAGGTTTATATAGAACTACTTCATTTGATACTCCTATGGAGTAAATGTCAAATACATAAAAGATGAAGGAGATATTTTTCTAGATCCCACTCTCTATCAGCATTTGGTAGGAAGTCTTATCTACCTAACGAAAACTAGACTTGACATTTTGTATGTTGTTCACCAAGTCAGTCAATTGGTGTTTTTTCCTCAACATCTTCATTTCATTGTTGTTTGTCGCATTATCCGTTATCTAATAGGATAATTTACACGTGGGTTATTCTTTCCCAAAGACTCATCTTTACATACAACAATGCTGATTGGGCAGGATGTCCAGATACTCGTAAGTCTACTACAGGTTGATGTATGTTTCTTGGTGATGCCTTAATTTCTTGGAAATGCAAAAAGCAAGATTGTGTTTCAAAATCTTCTATTGAGGTTAAATATCATTCAATGTCGCTCGTTTGTGCAAAAGTTGTGTGGTTACGTAATCTTTTGAAGCAACTTGGTTTTTCACAACCTAACTCTACACCTCTGCATGGTGATAATACAAGTGCTATTCAAATTGCTGCAAATCCCGTGTTTCATGAATGTACCAAGTATATTGAAGTAGATTGTCATTATATTCAGGAAGCCTTGACTAACAATGTCATTTCTCTCCCTTACATCTCTTCTTATCTTCAAGTTGTTGATATATTTACTAAAGTTATGACTAGACAGCGACATCAATTTCTAGTTAGCAAATTATTGTTGGTTGACTTACCAACATCAATTTGAGGAGGATGTTAATGTGTATAGCAGTTAGGAATCCCGGTAATTAGTCCATGTAATAGGTGATGTTAATGTATATAAATGTATTTTATTACCTGATAGTTGTTAGGAATCTTGGTAATTATTCCTTTTATTGTATATCTCTTGAAATATGCTACATTAATATAAAATATATGCTAGCAACCTATTTAACAGAGGAAGGCTCAAGAATACAGACAAACTTTTCTAAAAAACATATTGTCATATGGTAATTGCTCTCTTATATCTTGATAGTTGACAAATGAAAAGAGTAAAAGTCGTAGTTTATTGAAAAAGATTATATAATGACATAAAAAAGTTTATTCAAAAGTGTGGTATCTGTCAACAATGTAAGTATAACACAATAGCTTTTCCAAAACCTTTACAACCTCTTCCCATTCCAGAACATATATAACCATGGATTTCATTAAAGGATAGCAACATTTTTTTGGGAAAAAGGTCATCTTGGTGGTGGTAGACAATTTGAGTAAGGTGGCTCATTTCATGGCACTTTCTCACTCAAATTACATGGTTGTCCCAATACACTGACCAGTGACAGAGATACTATTTTTCTTAGTCAATTATGGCAAGAGTTCATGGCTATGCAGGGAGTTCAGATTAAATTATCTTCCAACTATCATCCGAGACCGACGACCAAACTGAGGTGGTAAATAGGTGCCTTGAAACTTATCTTAGGTGAATGTGTTCAGACGCCCCACATAAGTGGTCCACATGGTTACCTTTAGCAAAATGGTGGTACAATACCTCTTATCACACTACCATAAAAGCCACTCTATTTAAAACTATAGGCAACCACCTCTTATACACCTTCCCTATTTCCCAGGAGAATATCAAAGGTGGAGTTAGTGGATAGGAGTTTAGCTAAATGAGAAGAATGTTGAGGGTCCTCAAATTCCATTTAAGGAGGGCACATGATAGAATGAGACAAATAGCAAATCAACGTAGAACAAATAAACAATTCCTGATTGGTGATTGGGTTTACGTTAAGTTACACCCATATCGGCAGGTGTGTGTTGCTCTGAGAAATAATGTTAAACTTAGCCCTAAGTCCTTTGGTCCTTTTAAGGTAATAGACAAAATAAGAGTAGTTGCTTATAGACCGAAGTTGCCAACATCTAGTAAGATTCTTAATGTTTTTCATGTTTCCTAATTAAAAATTCATGTGGGTAATGTAGTTACGTTGACTCAACCACCGTACCTGCAAGAAAATGTTCTTATGGATAAAGAACCTGAGAGGATTCTGGACAAGACAACAGTAAGAAGGAAAGGGATGCCTATTACTAATGTCCTTATGCAGTGGAAACATCATCTACTAGAAGACTCGACATGGGAGTTTCACTACGATTTGAAGAAGAAATATCCGTCTTTTAATCCATGAGGTCAAGGATGGGTTTATGGGAAGGGCATTGTTATTAATAATTGTAGTATCGGTTTGTAGTTATAATCGATTTATAACTTTTCATACTGGATAAATTAGGTTAAGAATAATGGAAATAAGACGATTGATTTATGCTCTATCTTCTAGTATACTCTTTTTCTACATTCAGAACGTTCACTGTTTTCTATTGGTGGTGGTTCTTTGATAATAATCCTAGCACTACTTTTCTTCTATCAAGAACAATAAAAGTATTGAATTCAATCTACTTCTATAGAACGGTAAAAATCTTAAAGAAACATTGTAAATTAAAGATTAGAACAAAAACAAAATCAAAGTAACAATTAGAATGGAAAATAAATTAAGAACTTTGAATAATACTTCAAAGAAATTGTGTTGATTCTCTAATCATAAATTTGCTTTTATGATTATCATTGATTTCTAAGATTTGTCTTACAATTACAAAAACAAATCCAGAATAATTTCAAACAATTATAATCCAATTGAAATTCATGAACACAACTCAATCCCTAAATCAAGCAATCACTTAAACCTAGAAATTTGATTTGTAATGTAAATGAGATATTCAATCAAATAACATCAATTACATTGATTGTAATTTATTATAATTGGTTAGAATTGTTAAGAACCAAATCTAAGTCAAAGAAAACAAGTTTTAATCGGTGAATCAACAACAAAAACGAATTAGAACATGATGAATAAGTGAAAAACTAGAAATAACATGAAAATAGTGAAGAAATGCAGTGAAAGAAGATGAAAACAGAAAATAAAAGGAAGAAGTAAAGAGAACAAAATATATCTGATCAAAAACAACTTGAATTGATAATCTTCAAGACATCATTCATACAAAAAATTCATGAACAAACTTCAAAGTTAAACATCACAAAATAGAGAAAATATAAAGAGATATGAATCTAAAACTTGGAAATCTAAACTCTAAAAATTTAACTTGAGACTTAACTTCAGTTTTTTAGCCTTCAAAGGCCTATTTATACAACAAAGGTATACGAATCGAATAAATCTATTTAAGGTCCATAATTACATAATAAAACTTAAACAAGATTACGTAAAAATGAGACTTAGTGATTTCTTTATTCACTCAACGGATTGCTTTTAATTATGTAAATAAACTATTTGAACTAATTTCACTAAACAGATTTTAAAGTGCTAAGCGGATTCTATTTATTTTATTTTTATAATTTCTTTAATTTATCATTCTTATAAAAATAAACAAGTAATTAGTTAAAATGTTTAATTTAAGCAATAAATTATATTTAAAATTATTTTTTTTTTATGAAAATTATGTTAAAAACTAATAATTAATTAAAAATATATATTAAATATATATATATATATATATATATATATAATATTATTAATAAAACTATTGATAAAATACGTTTATCGATCCTCTCTACGTCAAGAATGGTGTTTTTTTTGCTATAATGGTGGGTTGAGATTAGTCTTTAGATTAAACCATCACCAAACGTTCAGCGTCATAGTGCACTCACCAGAATTTTTTTTCATGACACTCCATTATAATTTCCCTCCACTCTCTAACCATTGCGCACAACCATCAGGTTCAAAATTACCTTCTACTGCCTTTAAAGTTTAAAATGAAATTTCTCTTTACCCACAGTGTGACCCTCACCAACCTTTAGTAGATTTGTATGAGCAGTTGCTTAGTAGACCATATTTTGTTGCATTTGAGAATTATTAAGGCTTTTTATACTTACTTTTTTACCAAACAATTATCCACATGCAGCAATGTGGATTCCGAGGAGTTCAGGCCAGGATGTAATCATTTGAAAGTTGGTTCATTTCGAATTCATTTAGTACAGAATATAGTAGGATTAAACATATGAATTTAGAGTTGCAATTCCTAAGAATGTGGCTTATGATTTCAGTGGCCTGCCTACTCAAGGTTTCTCAATCTTCTGGGCCTCTCTCGCATACTAAATTCATTACACACAATTTCTGAAGCATGGGGGAAGATTTAATAGTAGAAAGTGGCAGTAATAAAGCAGGCTTGTTGCAGAGAATCTCCAACATGCCCGTTATTTTAAAGGAAGATATAGTTACCTCTATATCTGTATTTGGCTTAACATATGATGTCTAATGGGGTCTCTGACACTTCCATGGTGTTATTGAACCCGAGAATCCAAGGTGGAACGGTAGTGGTGCGTGGGAACTTGATTGCAACTTTGCTCTGCCTTATATATATATATATATATATATAAAAGGTTGTTGCACAGCATGTTTTATCCTCCACTTGTTACAATAACCAGTACATTTTTTGTAAAACTTATTTTTTTCATTGTAACTTACTTGTACCATGAACATCATGTCATGAAGTTCCACTTGATGTAGAGGATTAGAAATGAATAACCATTAATTTGTTCATACTACTTGAAGACAAACTTTAAGATAAAAAATTCCCGAGAGAAATAAGATAACTGTACAAGATATTCAGAAAGGTGAGGACACAAGAAACTGCTCTTCCAATCCAGGGCAATATTCAAAGTTGAAATCCTCATGAAAACAGTAGTTTCATTAATTGAAACACAAGTTAAAATTCAATTTTCACAAGTGAAATCATGAATGTTCAAAAGAACAATGAACCAATCCTGTTACAAAATTTCAGACTTCAGTCTCTCCTCCAAGCATAGAGCAACAAAGAGAAGCCAACGTTACTATTCCCACACGACCTGGTCGATGAAGAGCACGAGCTCCTCTCTCCATCACTGCTCTCCTCCGTCCACTGCAACACACCAGAGCTCGACGGAGACAGTGTAGCAACCGACTGCCCCATATGTCCCACCAACCTCTTCTTCATCAACTTCTTCTCTGGCCCCACCATTTCAGGCCACACGGTGCCACCATCGCCTACTTGAAACACAAAAACACCATAGCCATTGCCATTTTCACTATCAACCACCCAACTCAACACGTCCCAGTAGAACTCTACTTCAACGCCATCAATGAAAATTTTCTCGTTGCCTCTGAATTTCCACGCCAGCCTTTTCACCACCAAGCAAACCTGACCATCCACTTTCACTCTCAGCACTTCTCCACTGCATAATTCAATCTCTATTTCACGTTTGGAACCCATGAACTCACCCTTTGACACGTAACTCGTGCTTCCAAACACATGCTCTCTTCTGGACACAAGATTTTGGTCGCTTGGTTGGCGAGTTGAAAGCTGCATGGAAAGAATAAGAAAAAGGTCACCCAGAAAGAATTCAACCCTGCCATTGCAACAGATTGCAAGGTAGAAGCATGACTCAGGCTCGGCCGAGTTTCTAGTAATAAAGAGTGCTTCAGAGAAGTCCCAGTGAAGTTTGATTTTCTGAGAACGTTTGTGGGGGCGTGTGAGGTAGATGGATTTGGATCCTGGTCGAGTTCGGAAGAAGGAGAAGGTTGAAGGGTTGAGAGTTATGGTGATGGAGAAGGTGTGAGGGGCGTAAATGGTTAAGGAGTGAGACAGATGGGTTCTGAACCAGGTAAGGGTGAGGTAGGTGGGGGAGTTGCAAAGTTGAGTCTGGTATATGCAGGTAACTAGATTTTGGGGCACTTGAGTGGTGCTTGAGCTTGAAGGTGTGTTGGGTTGGCTGAAACAAGCTGGGATCATGTTGTGCTGTTTCTTCCTTCTTGGACGTGGGTGTGTGCGTGTGTGTTTCTCAAACCATCTATAATGTTTGGTTGGTTAGCTTGTTTTACTACCGGTATAGGAAGAGAGTGTGTGTGTTATTGGCTTTATGTGTTGGGGGCGAATTTTGTTGGACTTGTTAAGGTTGTGTTCTTTTGAGATGTTGGCAAAAGTATAGAACTAATAATGAGTATGCAAGGGTTGGTTGATATTAAAAAGAAAAAGAGGGAGAACACGAGGCTTTCTGTGTTAGCCTTTCACGTAGACTTTGTTGTCTTCCTTGATTTGCGCCTTTGACAAGCCTTCAAAAGCCTTTTGTCCCTCGTATGTGTGCTGGTGAGCTGGGTTGCACTTGGGGTCTTCGACTTTCCAATTCATTCAAACTATCCAATGAAAGGGGTAGAATTAACAATTATTTTATGTCCTCACCTTTTTCTTTTTAATCATAACCTTCTCAGTTCCCTTGAAATGAAATGTAATAAATCCCATTTATAATGTTTGAACTTTGAATATCAGAACATTGGACATAAAATGATCGTCTTATGTTTTCGCACGGAGGTAAAGGTGCGACAAGGAACTGACTTTTCACATTATCCAGTTTTTCTTCTTCTTTCAGGCCAATAAATTTACTGGATAACTTTCTACATCATATATTTATAAGAGAAGTTTTGTTGCGTATGATAGTTTTATCAGATTTCATGTTTCTGCAGAAAAATATATATACATGGTCTGCATAAGTAAAAATGTCTATATATCCATGATTAGCTTAAGTTCAGTGATTCAGTGTCATATATACTCATAGTGTGGAAGACGAATTAAGTGTATTCCAGTTTGTAATGGAAAAAAATATATAATGAGTTTGATTTTAAGACCTCGTATATTCAAATATTCTACCAATGTGTTCTATATTTTTTTTGTTGTTTCGTGTAACACGTTATGTACTTATAAGTTATATTATTCATATTAACATTTTAAATTTGAGACTTTGTATTATTCATGAGATACTTTTATAGATACATAAAAAACAATTTATGGACTTGTAAAGATATTTATTTGCTCAGCAGATGAATTTGCAGCTACAAGTATTCAAATTTTGAAACAATACTAGATTACAAAACCAATGGACCCTTTTCTACCGTATCTCTCTACTCCATTTCAAAGCTCAAATAATGGCCAAAGTCAAAAGGCATGATTTTCTTCAACAGTTGGACAAATCTATGTCAGGAATATTTGAACAAAAAGCATCAGATCTGCGTAATTGTGAATAATAATTTCAGCTCAAAAAAAAAGAAAAGTTTGTAAGACCCAAATCAAGTGAACTCCTCAACAGAGGAGTAAACAATTCAATCGTTTATAAGTATATAGCGATAATAAGAGGCAGAAAAAACAAAAGGAAGAAATCTAAGTTAAAGCAAAAGAGAATAGGAAAAGTAAAGAACAAGAACGAGGATGTAAATTCACGAAGAAGAAGAGAGTGTGGCCAATTCATGCTGAACAGCGTTCATGAGTAAGCTATCTTTTCCAAGAACAACGATGATGGGAGAGCCACCAATGCTACGAGCCACAGCATGCATAATCTCTGTCATCAAGGACTTGAACTCGTTCAGATCGAGTGCACCATTCCCATCTTCATCAAACCTCTTGAATATCTCTTCACTCTCTTGCACTGGCGGAGATTCCGAACCAAAGGGCAGAAGCATACCGAACCTGCGACGGATTGCGTCGCACGAAAGCTTGCCATCGCCATTCTCGTCCACCGTCGTGAACCACTCGTTCACGAAGCTATCAAACTTGGCCTTGTCATTTACGAACTCCATTATGGTGTAGCTGTTCACTACCCCTATGCTCATTCTGAGGATGCAGTATTTTGGAACGCCGAGAATTGGGTTTACGTTGCTTTGAGGTACGAGGAACAGAGTGCGCGGCTATAGTGTTGTGTTCTTCTTGTCTTATAAAGTGATGGTTGCCCTAGCTTCACGTTTCCAATGGTTGATTACCCTTTATTTTAGAGCACTACACCACGCCAACGTTGGATTTATGAAGTTGAAGTACCTTTGATTCAGCTTTTCTAACATTTTCACATTATATGTATTTATATATATTATTAATTTTTGTGTGTAGATTATAAAATTAGAGTTCAACAAATTTATATCTAAGTTCTATTTCTTCCCCATTATTTTCCATTAATTAATTTCTTTTTTATAGTTCATCTTTAAGGTCACTCAAAGATTTGTGATGTATAATTAACAACGAGTTCTTTTATTTAGTAATAAAATAATTTATATTAAAATGTATAATTAGTTTTATTTAAAATTTATTTTTCTAATCTTTTGTGATGCAAAATTATCTATTAAATTGTTATAACTAATTTTATTTAACATTTTTTCCAATAGATAATAAAGTCAATCTATTTAATCTTTGTTGAGATATGATTGATCTTAAATAATTTTTTATTATTTTTAATTTTGAAAATCTCATTTTAACATTATTCTATAAGTTATGTATGCATTTGGAAAAGAATTTATTCTTTTTATATAATTAAGAATATTAATTGGTTTATCATTTTTCAATCTTATAATTTCTTTTAAGATATTTAATTATGAAAATAAATCTAATTCATTAAGATCCAACAAATTATCATGTTTCAAAGATTTTGCAAGGTTTAAGCATTTTTCTTTCAAAAGTATATAGTTTAGTGATTTTAATTTTTTAATAATAAATAAAAAAACCAAAAATATATTCATATATTTTAAATTATTCAAATATACTTTGAAGCATGATAATTCTTTTATCTACAATGTACAAAAAGTAATAAAAAAAAGTCTATATTGTTATTATCTTGTTCATTCAAAGAACACTCACCTATATTTTCTAATTCATTTTTCTTATCTATTTTTTTATAAATTTATCAATAGCTCCTTTTTGTGATGAAATTAAAGTCTCGACTCTTTTCTTCTTTTAAAGTTTTGCATAGCTTGATTCATATTTTCTAGTTGACATATCTACATATTTTATATGAAATAAAAAATTATAATATATAAAGCACTATTGAAGATAAGTATATAAAAAAGAATAAGTTGAAACAATAAAACCCACCACTCGTAATGTGACCCTATACTGGCCAAATGAGGAAATATTGATTCAAGGAACACAAAATGTGGCTAAGGAATCAAAAGATGAGCAAATGATGGAAGGGCAGAAAAAGACAAAGTTAGTTATGCAAGAAGAACACGTGGAAGAATCTCCTTGGATCATGCACCCACGCCAAGGAGATAGAAAGAAGCATGACAACGTTCGTTTGCAAGGCTACGTGCGTGGATGAGCTCACCATAAGTATGACCTCTCGGGAGGAATAAAAAGTGTGTGAATTGTAGTCCAGAGTCCCTTCTCTCTCATCTCCCTTCTTTCTAAATTCTCATCTCTTTCGTCTGTACCTCTCTTATCCTTTTTCTTCCAATTCAGTGTAACAAAATATTGGCATTAATATCACAAGCACTATCCTGAGTGCCTCTTCATTACTGTTTCATTACTTTCTTACCGTACTAGTTTGTTTTCCTGCTACATTTGGTGCTTTCATCGACTCGGCCTTGGCAGAAAACACACGTATGAAAGATATGCAAAATGAACTTAAGGAATTAAGAGAAACTGTTGCATTCTTAAGGCAAAGAGACACAAATCACTCATTGCAGAACCAACAAACAAACAAAGCTCTGGAGGATTTAAAGGAGATGCTCAGATCTATGTCCGTTAATCAAACTCATCAGACTGACCCTCCACACGGGATCAAACCACCCTTTCAAGTAAGAAATGTTAAGATCGATTTTCCTAGATTCGATGGTTCTGAAGTATTATCATGGATATTTAAGGCTGAGCAATTTTTTGAATTTTATGATACACCTGATGATCATAGATTAACTATAGCTATTGTGCACTTAGACAAAGAGGTAGTGCCTTGGTTTCAGATGATAACTAGAATGCAACCATTTCAGTCATGGAAACATTTCACAAAGGCTTTAGAACTTGAGTTTGGACCCTCTCCACTTGAATGCCCAAGGTCTATTTTGTTTAAACTTGGACAAACAACCTCAGTTAATGAATACTACATGGAATTTATTTCACTTGCTAATCGTGTTTATGGACTCGATCCGGATGCCTTGTTAGATTGTTTTATCGGTGGCCTTAAACCGAGAAATTAAGAGAGATGTAATTGCCCAAAGTCCCTTATCTCTGCTCAAAGCGGTTTCCCGGCCAAACTTTATGAAGACAAATACACTTATAAGCCAAAACCTACTTACAAACAGCCCACATATCAAAACTCCTCATACACATACCCAAAAATACACAACTATCAGCCACCCCTCTTACCAACCCCCCACCAAAAACCTACTTACCAAGTCACTGCAAATCCACATAACACCTCAAACAACCCTATAAAAAAAATGACACCTGCCGAAATGCAAGTAAGAAGAGAGAAAGGTCTCTGTTATACTTGTGACGACAAGTTCACCCCCCAACACAAATGTCCCAATAGGAATTTTATGATTATGCAAGTGGAGAATGAAATTCCAGAAACTGAGGATACTATACAACCAAGCTGAATTGGTCGCGAGACAATCGTTGAACAGGAACATCACTTGTCCTTCAATGCTTTAAAAGGCAACGGTGGCTTGGGCACAATCGGATTCGAGTGGCGGGATTAAGGGTCATTCCGTGAGAATCCTCCTAGACAGTGGTAGCTCGGATAACTTTACGCAACCATGAGTGGCTCGGTTTCTTCGCTTGCCAATACAACCTGCCACACAATTTCATGTAATGGTGGGCAATGGTCACTCCATGACAGTAGAAGGACTCATTCTTGATTTGGCAATTGAAGTGCGGGGTCATGAACTACACTGTCCTGTCTATTTATTACACTGTTACGGAGGCGACTTAATCCTTGGAGCGGCTTGGTTGTCCACATTGGGTCCTCATGTGGCGGATTATAGTGCTTTACGGTTTAAATTCATATTGAATGGCAAATTCATAACACTTGCAAGGTGACGAGACCACCTTTACCTCAAACTGCCCAATTTCACCACATCGGGAGATTTCATCATGCCGATGCTATAGGCTGAGTGTTTCACTTGTCCAATTACAAACTCTTGACGGTGTTAAAGATGAATTCAGTGAATTTCCCAAGGATTTAGATCCTGAATTAGCTCTGCTTCTACATACTTACAGGAAGGTTTTTAACAAACCTACGGGCTTACCTCCTCAGAGATTACAGGATCATTCTATTCCTCTACTAGAAGGATCAAACCCTGTTAAAGTTAAACCTTACAGGTATGCTCATAGTAAAAAATCTGTAATTGAGCAAATGGTGCAGCAAATGTTAGAGGAAGGTATAATCCAACCAAGTACAAGCTCATTTTCATCTCCAATCCTATTGGTAAAGAAGAAGGATGGCACATGGAGATTTTGTACAGATTATCGAGCCCTTAACAATATCACTGTGAAAGACAGTTATCCCATGCCTACTGTGGATGAACTGTTAGATGAATTATATGGAGCTCAATTCTTTTCAAAGTTGGACTTGAGGTTGGGTTACCACTAGATTCTGGTCAAACCAGAAGACCGACACAAGACAGCATTTCGGACACACCAAGGGCATTATGAATGGCCAGTGATGCCCTTTGGGTTGACCAATGCACCAGCTTCCTTTCAACACCTCATGAATGATATTTTTCAAACACTGCTAAGAAAATGTGTCCTAGTGTTTTTTTATGATATTTTAATCTATAGTCCTACTTGGTATGCTCATTTGCAGGACTTAGAGAAGGTGTTAAAGACCCTACAACAACATTCCCTATTTGCCAAGTTATCCAAATGTGTATTTGGTACAGTGCAAGTTGACTATTTGGGTCATACTGTGTCTCAGCATGGTGTTTCAATGGATCAAGCTAAGATTGCAGCTATCTTAGACTGGCCAGAACCTCGGAATGTGAAGCAATTGAGAGGATTCCTAGGTATCACTGGATACTACAGAAGATTTATAAAGCATTATGCCAACATTGCTGAGCCTCTTACTGCGTTACTTAAAAAGGATGCATTCAGTTGGTCTGCTGAAGCTACTGCTGCATTTCAGCAATTGCGAACGGCTGTTACAACAACACCTGTTTTAGCTCTTCCTGATTTTTCCAAGCCATTCATATTAGAAACTGATGCTTCTGGAATAGGAATTGGAGTTGTGCTAAGTCAAGGAAAGCATCCAATAGCCTATTTTTCAAAAAAATTGTCACCGAGGATGCAGAAACAATCAACCTACTCCAGAGAATTGTTTGCTATAACAGAAGCCCTAGCAAAGTTCAGGCACTACTTGCTTGGACACCAGTTTACTATTAGAACAGACCAGAAAAGCATATGACACTTGGCAGATCAGACAATCCAAACCCTTGAACAGCAGAATTGGTTGCACAAATTCTTGGGTTTTGATTTCAAAATTGAATACAAACCAGGGGAGGATAACATTGCAGCAGATGCTTTATCCAGGTCTTTCTATTTAGCTTGGTCTGAGACAGTTCCTCAATTTTTGTAGCAATTGAGAACTGCCATTTCTAAGGATCCCCATTGGCAATTGGAACTTCAAAATTGTACTTTAAATCAATCTAGTAGCCCTCATATTACTTGCAGAGAGGGTTTGCTTTTTTGGAAGGGAAGGTTGATAATTCCTCAGAATCCTAGTATTATTCAGCAGATTCTATAGGAATATCATGACTCCACAGTGGGTGGGCATTCAGGCATTGCCAGAACTGCAGCAAGAATAAAAAATGAATTCTACTGGCCTAAGATGATGCACGATATCCAAACTTAT